TTACAAACCCTGATCGGATTCCCCAGGTCAGATCCAGAATGTCAGGAAGTCGAGTGGACCTCAAGTTACCGAAGTTCGTAGAATAACCGCAGTACGACCAGTCCGGTCTAGAGAAGTCTCCAGGTCACAACAGGCAGGAAGGTTTGTTGCGTCTAACACGGATGTGCTCTTAAGGAGCCGTATGGCTGTCAGCTGGCAGTGTGCCAACAGGTTTGATTGTGTGTCAAAAGAGAGAGGTGTCTAAAGGAGGCTGGTTCCGAATTGGCCACTTCGGAGTTGTTGCAATACTGCAATTTCCCCACTGAGGGACTAATAAATGTATTCTTATGTGTGTCTCTTCCACATGTGTATTCTTCATCATAACATGTTTCCATTGTCCCGCAAACCACAATGTGCTCCGAGCTGGCCTGCGCACATTGTCAATAGCAAGCTATTCTCCATATTTGATCGTTTTTTTAGTGATGATGGACATCTGAAGGCGGTCAATCCTCTCCACAGATTGTAATTAACACCCCATCTCATGTAGGTTGTAACGGTTTTCAGGTTTTGCTTTATTGACTAAATAGAAGAACATGGACGTTAGGCGCCAGTCAGGTCTCCCTCCTGACACATGGGATAAAATAACAAAAAAACAGGCATACAAGTTGCAATGGTGAATGAAAATAAGAAAATAAAATCTCCCGTTACACAAGGAAATATGTTACTAGACATACACCCTTACATTAAGTTGTCTGACCAAATAATGAAATGAATAGAGGTAATAGTCCAGAAGAAAATCAGGTTCGGGCAATTTCACAGATGCAGTTTATTTAGCTGACTTTGTCCATAAAGGAGAAGCGGTGCTTTCAGGTGAGTGCAGAATTTTACTCTCGCATAGAAAAAGTTATAAACAAACAAAGAAATTGCACTTATAATATCATTTTTCTAATATTTACATATACACAAAATATTCAAATAAACTCACTTGACGGGGTCGTTTAACAAATCAGAGTGATGAGCAGTTTGAAAAACACGTTCTCACTACAAAGGAAATAATTTTCTTTTAATAATCGATTCCATTTTCATCCTGTCATTGAGCAAACCCAAATTCTGAGTTTAGTTTTCTTTTTAACTCACGTTTTAGTAGATCGTTTGCTTGACGTAAGAATCTCTTCAATGGGCAATCCGATGACGTTAAGCAATCCCCTTTTAAAAGAATTTTCAGATGAGTTTTGGCTTCATTTTCCTTTTTTTTTCTCACTAGGAACTTACATCAGTTGTCAAGTTGCAGTGAATATGGTGCGTCCAGATGATGACATCATCAAATAGCGAACTTAGAAACTTGGTTGTTGAGCGTTTCTTCCGTCTTCCAGATCTGTCTCAATCCTTGAGGGATTAACGCCTCTTTGATTAAAAAAACAGCCCGTTTACTCGGTAGAAATCACTGTGCACCTGTGTTCACGCCACTCTGTTCACAAGTGAAGAGAGAGAGTCCGTGGAGCTTGAAGGCACTTTCTATTTTTTTCCTGTTTAGGGTGCGGCAGCCAGCTGCGCACAGGTGCAGCGGATTTATAATCAAGCAAAAAAAGGTGAGAGGAGCGGTGGAGTGCTTAGCTCTATATTGTCATGACAATTTCAGATCGTTACAAGGTGTGCAGACATTATAAACCTCACACACAGAACATCCCATCCATCCATTTTCATCCGCTTATCCGGAGTTGGGTCGTGGGGGCAGTAGCCTAAGGCGAGAGTCCCAGAATTTCCCCTCCCCAGCCACTTGGGCCAGCTCCTCCGGGGGAATCCCAAGGCGTTCCCTGGCCAGGTCTCCTCCCGGTTGGACGTGCCCAGAAAACCTCACCAGGGAGGCGTCCAGGAGGCATCCTGACCAGATGCCCAAGCCACCTCAACTGACTCCTCTCGATGTGGAGGAGCAGCGGGTCTACTCCGAGCCCCTCCCGAATGACCGAGCTTCTCACCCTATCTCTAAGGGAGAGCCCAGCTACTCTACGGAGAAAACTCATTTCGGCCGCTTGTATCCGTGATCTCGGTCACTACCCAAAGCTCATGACCATAGGTGAGGGTAGGAACGTAGATCGACCGGTAAATTGAGAGCTTCACCTTCTGACTCAGCTCTCTCTTCACCACGACAGACCGGTACAACGCCCGCATCACTGCAGATGCAGCACCAATCCACCTATCGATCTCACGCTCCAGTTTTCCCTCACTCGTGAACAAGACCCCGAGATACTTAAACTCCTCCACTTGGGGCAGGACCTCATCCCTGACACGGAGAAGGCATTCTACCCTTTTCCGAATCAAGACCATGGTCTCAGATTTAGAGGAGCTGATTCTCATCCCAGCTGCTTCACACTCAGCTGCAAAAGCTGAAGATCACATTCTCCAACAGGACCACATCATCTGCAAAAAGCAGAGACCTGATCCTCAGGCCACCAAAACAGATGCCCTCCACACCTTGGCCGCGTCTAGAAATCCTGTCCATAAAGGTTATGAACAGAATCGGTGACAAAGGGCAGCCTTGGCGGTGTCCAAGTCTCACTGGGAAAGAGCCCGACTTACTGCCGGCAATGCGGACCAAGCTCTGACACCGGTCATACACGGACCTTACAGCCCACAGAGAACATCCCTCCAAAATAAAATACATTTACATACAATTTTTAGGGATGCCAGTTCAGTCATAGCCACGCTCCTGTTAGGGGAACATGTTATATTTAGACAGCAAACACCTTGAACCCAGCTGTGCCGCTGAACGGTTTCAGGGTCAAGTCAGGAGCGCAGAGATAGTGGAGGTGCAGCTAGATATGCAGATGATGTGTGTTCTAGGCACCATGTTTGTTCAGTCAGATTCAGTGGCGTAGGGGGTTCAGTGTCAGAAAGGTCTGTAGTGTTATGTAGGTTCACCTCCCGGTCACGGCATGGACTTTTTAATTTTTTTTATTTTTTAGTAACACCTGCCAATTTTATGTATTCAACCCTTTATTGGTAAACCGCTTCAAAATATGCGGACTAATTTGTTTCCTCTTTACTATTTTGTTTATTTACCCAGTGTGAGTCAATGTATGAGCAGAGTATCAACTAAAATGCTGCTTAGAAATGACCAAATTCAAAGATCTTTAGAGACAAAATATTTTGCAGAAATTTTTCAAAAAACTAAAATATAAATAAATGAAATATGTTTCAGCTGGCTAAATTAATTACTGCAGACACCGCCTAGAATCGAGCCAGCGTCAGCAGAGGGCAAAATTAAACAAATGTCAGATAATAATAATCTGTCCTTGTCAGACACGTGACCTGCTGGCAAACCACACCACCCTAGCACCATTTTAGGTGTATGATGACTCGCGTTGCTAGGGGAAGCCACAGCTGAAGCTGAAGCAGAACAAGAGTCAAACGGATGGATAAAAAGAACAAGGATGAGCACATCCCTTACATGAATAAACTTCTGAAGGAGGTTAGAGATCGGTATTTTCAGAAATTGTCTACAGTCGACATTGTATATCCCTAGGACTTCAAAGGAAACAGAGCTCAGACATTTAATCACTGCTGAAAATATATCACTTGAGTAGGCGAAGCACTACTTCAACATATTTAGAATCAAGTAAACATAAAAGGTAGCCATAAGAAACATTACTCTACTGCGCCAGGTTTTATTTTCTGGATGAACCATAACTAAACAAGTTATTATTAATAAAAGTTACAAGCAGGTACAGAAACAAATACGTCAGACGTCACGCTAGACATGTTTGTTTTCATTTTGACCGACAGAGTTTAAAAAACGGTCATGATCGTTTCCTCTCGTCATGTTCATTTCTCAAATAATAATAAATAAAAATTCACAATGGAATTTTCATTCATATTTAGTCTAAACAAGATGACCAGCGTGTCCAACAACATATTAATGCTATGGTAAATGACCTGTATTTGATATAGCACCTTCTAGAGTCCTGGAACCCCCTAAGGCACTTTACAACACAATTCACCCATTCACACCCTGGTAGGGATGAGCTACAATGTAGCCACAGCTGCCCTGGGGCTACACTGACAGAGGCGAGGCTGTCAAGTACTGGCGCCACCAGTCCCTCCGACCACCACCAGTAGGCAAGGGGGGTTAATTGTCTTGCCCAAGGTCACAAATGACAGCGTCAAACAGAGCGTGGCTTGTCTTTCTAGTCAAATTTGACTGTGCTTTATTTTGAAATGCCACATCAGATCTTTATGAAATTTGCGGAGAATTTAGTACTCAATGTGTACTTTAAGGCTGACATGGAATGATACTGCGGAATCAAACAGTTCTTGAGAAATTAACCAGTGAATATACTGAAAACTGTCTTTATTGTCGACTTTGATGGCACTTTATTCTGAAATGCCACATCAGATCCTTATGAAAGTCGGAGAGAATGTAGTAGTCGATGTGTACTCTAAGACTGAGGTGGAATGATGTTGCGGAATCAGACAGGTTTTGAGAAAGAAATAATTGAATATAGTGATAATTGTCAATAGTTTTCACTTTATTTAGAAATGCCACATCAGATCAGGATGAAAGGGATGGGAGGGATAAGAATTGCAAAGTAGACAAATGTGTTTATTCTTTTAATTAAAAATATTTTTAAATAGATGAAATAATAATAAACATGGTTTTATCTTGCACACAATCTTACACAAAAAACGTTAAAATCGTGTTCACTCTTTTAATGAAAATTTATTTTCTAAAATAGATCAAATAATCAAAAACACAGTTTTATTTTAGACACAACTTTAAACAAACTTTGAAAAGTGTTCATCAGCATGTTCAGACACACACCCTAGAAGTGCGCTTTTATTTTGAAAGACACTCTCGAACGAGGGCACCGTAATTTCTCTTGTAGTTGCGACCGTAAAAATCGAAGCAATGCTGGCTTGACATTCGTTTCTGAACGGAGGGCTGGCTTGACGGCAATCCTCCTGAAACTGCAGTCGGCCTGAATCTGCAGTCTTTCGGTGAACGGTGAGGTTTATTTTGAAAAGCCCCCTTAGCTCAAAATGCGACACCGGAAGTTCCGCATTACTACTGCGTATGGCGTTGCAGTAACGTGGCTAACGGTAATGTTTGCTAACTAATTAGCAGAAGAGGTAAGCTCATTATTCCAGATATATTCTCCATGTTTCGTTGATCGGCTATCTGTGTTTTAGCAGAAAGTGGAGAGCAAAACGAGCCGGACTAAGGGATTGTCTCTCCCCTCCCAGATACTCCGGGCCTTGTCAGTCAGCTGCAGGCTAACCTTTTGTAGCCAAGACCAACTTGATACCGTTTGTTATGTTAACTCAGCGGTCACAGATTTATTAATTAACATAAATTATTGTACTGCCTGTTGTTGAATCGAATATCTTTAATTATTAAATACTCTTAACTAATAAATGGTGGCACGTTTGTGCATAAGTAAAAATCTGTTTGAGGTTCATTGTTGGTTAGCACTTTACGGGTAGGTGGACATTCTCTGTATTCGGTCAAACCAGCAATGAGTTGAACTAAAAAGCACCTATCGGCGGTTTCGAAGCGTTTCCAGTTAGAAAATAAAATGACAGGCAAACAAGAAGTTCACACATTAAGTCATTTAGTCGTTTTTTTATTTTCACCTGGTGATCCAGTCCCATCTGTGTGTGGATGATTTGTTGATCAACACAAGATCGCTCCGCTAGTATCAGAAGTTTAAGACAGGCCATCGCGTCATTACAGAAGCTGTTTCTACAGGACCGTAGCGTTTGCTGCACCCTGGGGAGGATTTTGGCATTTATAGCAGCAAAGCTGAAGCCATCAGGCACCTCTCAAACCAAGACGGGATAAAGGGAGGTCGGCATGCATTAAAAACGTGTTTATTTTGACAGCCCTAGGTTATATCCCTTCCGCAGTATACGTCACAAACGCGACCACCCTCTTTTGCCGGGGGGGGTGTCAAGCTTTAGCACCTGTCCCCTTTTCTCCTTTCCGCATTTACGAGACCTACAAATTCGGATTCATCACTCTAGCCTCTTTTATAAGACAGACCATCGTGTCATTGCAGAGTGATAAATCAGAATTTGTCGGTCTCGTAAACGCGACAAGGAGCAAAGGGGACAGGTGATAAAACTCGATTCTGATGCGCTTAGCCTCGTAGTAATATTGCCGCGTGAGCCCCACTCCTCTGACGGCTAAATTCGTTTCAGCCCCGCTACTCCCTTTGGAGCGACTGTGGGAGGCCCCCTGCAAAAGAGGGTGGTCGCGTTAATGACGTATACTGTGCACCGAGTGCCGGCCGGAAGGGATATAAACACAGCTTGAGTGATAGACTGTAGGAATTTGGTACAATTCATAGTGCAATTTGAAATGATTCAACACATTAAAAAGAATGCAACCCCACTCTATTGTTTTTAATTCGTTAATTCGTTTGCGACGACACATCACAATGTCATTCCCTTTCTGGAAGGACGGTCTGGAATGCAGGCTGAGTGTTTTGCTAACCTGGAGGACCACAGTTATCCATAATGTAGCTAAGGGTTACCAGAAATGTTTCTATGTTGTTCGCTAGGTACTTTTAGGATTGAAAAAGTCAAAAAGGGGGTCTGAAAAGCTGTTAGAAATAGTGACAAATTGGCTAAATTGGCAACACTGTGGGAGGAGCGCTTGATTTTCAACTCGGAGCAGCACAAAAGGGAGGAGCAAATAATCGGCTCGTTTAGTTTTTATAATAGTTGAAAACACAAATCGTAATTGTGATTAAAATTCGATTAGTTGAGCAGCCTTGATGGAAACAGTGTGGGATAGGGCTGCACAATATATCGAAAAATTATCGTCATCGCGATAACAGGACGTGCGATAGGCCCATCGCAAAACACGTCAAAAACGGCGATAAATGTTTGGCTCAAACATTTCCATCCGTGTCATACATCAACTTTTTGTAAACCAGCTCTGTTTTTTACGCGGAAGTATTATTTGACCAATCAAATGTAGCCCTTCTGATATGTGGCCAGTCAGATGGGTCCGTTCACGAAATACGCCCGCCCCCTACGTAGACCCTTACCCCAAAATTCCACTATCTCCGCTCAGCCCCCACTTTCCGCTGCCGCTCGCTTCCCTTGTTCGTCATGCTGGCTCAGATTAACGAACGCACTTTGTGCTGAGGTTTCTGGAATCAGCGCTGCTTTCAAACGTGAACGTGAACCTGCTCGGTGTCGTTAAGCAGCTGATAATAACCGGTGTCGGTACAGGATCTGCTCGGGTGCAAGATCGGCTCGGGGTCCTTCGACTGCTGATGACGTCAAAGTACAGCAAACCCACTCGGACAAAACACACTACACATCTATACTGTTGGAAAGAATTTAGCAGTTTCGTTATTAAAATAATGTTTCTTAAGACGTAAGTTTGTGTTTATAATGGTATTTGTAAAATAAAACACTATATTTTATTCATAATGTTGAACTCCTCTTTGAGCACATCCCTTGAAGAATCATAGGTATTAGCAACACCTGTGAAATTGTATTTGCAGGAAAGAAGTGTGTCCCGTTTATTGAAGTATTTTGTGTTTAGTTTTTGACGTCTTGTCCATGCGTAGTTCAGCTACGCTCATAGCTGCTAGCCAAAACTCTTGAGTTAAAAGTTTTCTGGCTTTACTAAAATACCTGTCTGTACTTATTTAACTGATGGTAGTTTTACTTTCTATTACACTCCAAATGTAATCATTTGGCATGTTTCTAATTCATAATTTGTAATAATGTAATCGGTGATATTAGCATTAGCATTCCTATGGGTTTTTCCATGTATATTAGCATTGCGCTAACCACTCGCTGCCAAATTGCAGCCTTTGTGATTAGAAAATCTCCTTTTGTCACATCGCAATTTAATTGCACATGCAGTTAATCGTTCAGCCCTAATATACATGCAGCTCTATGCTAAAAGTGTATTTTCAAAGAGGTAATGATGGATTTCTTTGTAAAAGTTGTCCATCTTTCCAACAGAAAGATTTGCCTGGACCAACGTAACGCGATAACAACGTAACATGATTACGTAATTCCATAAGATTCATGTTCAGCCAATCAACTACTTCGACGTCAACGGCAGTCGACGGACCCCGAGCCGATCTTGCACCCGAGCAGATCTTGTACCGACACCGGACTGACTCCAACACATGCCAGTGAACCAACCCACCGTTAGCCCCAGGCTCCGGTTAGCTTTCAGCTAAAAGGCTACAGCACTCTCCTCCCAGTCCCACCCTGCTAAAGAGGGCCTGGAAAAGTTCCCCCACACATCAAAGTGATTTTTCATTTATGAGCTTTTATAACCTTGTTAATCAGGATAGTTGATTTGCTGCTGCACATAAACTGTCAGTCAGAAGCTCTGCTAGCAGGTTATCTTAGAGGAGCTAGTTCAATTTGTTAGCTTGTTATCAGAATCATAGTTGCAGTTTCATCATCTGAGCTGCTTTTTAAGATCTAGGTAAACTTGTTCAATTTGGGGTTAAAAACAAACGTTTTCACATATTTTCCATGTAGTTTTTTGCCAGTTCCTCTTCTGAAAGGTAGACAATTGTTTTTCTCTTTCCCTCAAAAAATCTTAATATTCTCCTAGTTTGGCCCAGCACAGTTCACTTCCCAGTTACAGCAACAGCCTTATATCATAACCACTTAAGTGGAGAAAATGCTCAGTAGCAATGAGAGAATTTGCTGTTGCATGTAAGTGATGTTAACTATTATTTAACATTTAAACTTATTTTCTGATTTTTTTTATTCTAAAAACCCTGGTAAGGGATGTTTTTCTGTATTTGGAGCATCAGAAAAAGTTTTATGGTGGAGGTGATGTTTTAAAGTCACTGAGAAACTGCGTGCATGCAGTTTGTTGTTTTGCTGCTAATACGGTAGCAGGTGCAGCTGCTTATACAGTAGCAGGTGCAGCTGCTTATACAGTAGCAGGCGCAGCTGCTTATACAGTAGCAGGTGCAGCTGCTAATACGGTAGCAGGTGCAGCTGCTTATACAGTAGCAGGTGCAGCTGCTTATACAGTAGCAGCTGCACCTGCTACTGTATTAGCAGCTGCACCTGCTAATGCAGTAGCAGGTGCAGCTGCTAATGCAGTAGCAGGTGCAGCAGCTAATGCAGTAGCAGGTGCAGCTGCTTATACAGTAGCAGGTGCAGCTGCTTATACAGTAGCAGGTGCAGCTGCTTATACAGTAGCAGGTGCAGCTGCATATTTTTGCAATAAAAATGTTATATTGTAATGGAATTCATGCATTAGTTTTTGTTTGCTTTGAACCCAGAACAGACGTCACACGCCAGACGACATCAACACTGCATATTTTAATATTTGTTCGTTTATCTTGAGTAATATCGATATCGCAATATTAAGCACTGTTATCGAATATCGCAGGTTTTCCTAATATCGTGCAGCCCTAGTGTGGGATTTCCTGTCTAGTTCTATGTTAACTGCGGAAATTGTCGTGTCCCAGATGCAGCAAAAATAGAACCCGATCCTAGGGCCGTCTGATGATATAACATCGTTAAGGATTATAAAGTAATGACAGTCTACCAAAGAGGCCACGAGTTCAAGTGTTGTGTCAAACACAAGTTCCCCTGGAATTAGACAGGTTCATCCTAAAACCCAAAGAAGATTCGTACACAGAGGAGCTGCTGCGGTTGTTGTTTCAGATACAAGATTAACCCTTTTAGGCACATCTTCCCTACATATGTTATATAAGAGATTTGGAATTAGGAAGAAAAACTCGCTCAACCGTATGGATATGTTTTCAGTGATATTGATATCAGTGGAAAATAAACAATAGATCTAAAGATGTTACTGGTACTTTTACTATCATTCTGTTGTGGAAAGTCAACACAAATATTCAGTGAAAACGTTAAACAGTTGATTAAAACTTCATTGTTTTATAGTGGGCCTTTCTATATTTATAAACTGAGTTGATGGTTTAAAATAACTGTAGCTAACGTTACTTAGAGCCACTGTAGAAGGTCCAGTCTGAGTTAAGCTGTGGGAACTGGAGAGGAGCTGAGAAACTGCTTGTTCCAGTTGAATTGAAATAGAATATACTGGAAATCAGTTATGTAATAATTTCATGGAAATGTAACAGTGATGTTACAGATAAAAGGCAGAACAGATAAAATAAAAAAAACATTTTAACTATATTGTTGCATTGAAGTTTCACGTCCCACAGTGAGTAGTCTGTCCTACATTTGGTGAGAGATCTGGGGCCTCGTTTATCAAGCTTGCTTACGCACAAAACGGGGTCGGAAAACTGCGTGAGCTACTTTCCATGCAAACTTTGGGATTTATGAAAGAAAACTTAGCAGAAAAATGTGCGCTACTTTAAGATGACTAAGGACCTGGCTTACACACATGTTGGACATGGAGAGCACCTGCAGTGCTGCTGCTGAGAAGGATAAAATTATGAAATCCAGCCGCATTATCACTTGTACCGCTTTGCATGCACGCACGCGCTCACACACACACACACACACACACACACACACACACACACACACACACACACACACACACACACACACACACACACACACACACACACACACACACACACACACACACACACACACACACACAGCCTGAAGTGCAGAATAAGTCATGAGACAGAATGTCATGCGTCTGTAATGGTGTGAGCGTCCTGTCACTGTGACCCGATTGATCATGCGTCCTGGCTACATGGCCTAAGGGGATGTCCCCTTGGCTGACAGCACATGTGACACTCACCTGGGAGACCTGAGATCGGATCCCACCCGGGCCCTCGTCTCTCCACCTATCCACATGTTATTTATAGAACAAACACAGAAGCATGATTTTCATCTTTTATTTTCTTGCCAGTTCTTTGAAGTGTTCCGTGAAATTTCAGTCAGGACATCACATATTCTGTGCAGTTCACCGCACTATTCATGTCCCTCTGTGCCTGCAGGACAGTGTCAGTTAGCACCCGGCCACTTCCAGGAGGGCCACGCGCCCGACGCACACTGGTGAGACAGGCCGACCCTGCAGCCACATCTTCGGTTGCCGCCCAGGATGCCTCGTTGGACGCTTCGTCCAGAGTCACTGGGGGGAAACGAGATTTGGTTTTGTTTTATATTTTAATGACGGACACATTTGATCTGCATTAATAAAAGCCTTAAACGTTACCAGTCTCCTCTGCATGGTCAGTGTCTTTTCCGGCACGGTGCCACGCACGCTTGCCGGTCCGAGTACTGCTGAGATCTTAACGGCGAGTGGTGGGGGATCAGAAGTGCCAGGGCCTCCTCCAGTGGCAGACACATTCTGGCGGTTGCAAAACATCTTATTATTTTTATTTTTTTGCTTCCACCTTCAGATCAGACCATTTTTTTATATCCACCATAGATCTATGTGAAGATTTCACAACAATGACAGCTTCAACGCTGTGCCACTCCGTGGATTTTCTCTTATTTGTTTTGCAAAAGCACTTCCTTTCATTTCTCCACCTTGCCCACAAGTACCTCAACTTCTGCTTCTGTGAAATTGCGCTTCCTTGATCTGCCTTGATCTACGGTCACCATCGTTAATGGAGGAGCGCTGCAACGAGCCGGCTAATGTATGTGCATGAGATCCACAAGGCACTTTGCATTGACTATTTATGGCAGTAAGTTTTTTCTTCAAGGCACTCGCGGAGTACAGACGCTTCTCTCTTTCGCTCCCTTATCTTTTTTCCCCAACAATCTTTGTCCTGTCTGCCCACAGAGCACTTCTCTGCATTTCTTCTGAAAAACCCTATTTTTACTAACCATGGATTTGATGGTATGGTATTTCAATCCGAATGATAAGATTTTTTCAACAATGAGAACGGAGCAGGGGGCTCCCGCATGTCCACAGGGACACACACCCGGTGGGATATATACTGGATTCCTGGAAGGAGTGGAAGATCATATGCCTCAGCCAGCTGTCCATTGAGGATATCAAAGATGTGTGGATAGTCAGCCTGATAATCACTGGATTTCTCCTGATTGGAGTGGGAGGATATCTGGTTTTCTGGAAATTTGGGAAGACGGGAGCGATTGGAGGGCGACCCGCACCCACGGAAAGCACTGTCCCTGTGGAGACTTCTCAGACTGGGACGTTACTCGAGGTGAATCGTAAGCTGGACAATGTTCTAGCTGCGATACCGGTATTAGTGCGCAAAATAGATGTCATCTCGGAGAGGGTCACCGGATGGTATGGACAAGTTTAAAACCCAAAATTGGCTTCACTGAAGGACTGGAATGATCAGTTTAAAGGCTGAAGGCAGAGAGGAAAATGATCTCAGCCTGACCCAAACAAATTTTTGTAACCTGAATCCGAAGCCCTGGTAGCCTTCAGCGGCAAGCAACAAACCCCCACGAAGGAATGCATAAAGATGCCTACCCCCCCTCCTGGTGGGAAGGTAACTGTGAAGTGCCTTTTTTCCCTCCACCTGAACCAATCCTCATGTAACCCTCTTATCTCTTATTAAGGTAGCGCGACTCGGGTTGCGAATGACCACAGTCACCAATTCTTGTCATGTGTCTTGCCCATGTATGTCTGATCTCTGACTTGTGTGTACTGAAACTTTAATTTCCCTCTAGGATTAATAAAGTATTGATTGATTGATTGAAGTGGGCAGCATGTGATCCAGAAACACATGAGCACATTTCTAGGTAGAGTGTGATTTATAAAGCAGAGATTGTGTGAAGCTGTGCGTACTCCATGTTTTATAGGTCACAAACCTACTTGGTGTAAGTACATATGTTTTGCTTAAGTACAGTTTTAGTTGGGATTCTACGCAATGATTTATAAATGAGACCCCTGGCCATCCTACCTAAGAATTACAGTAATTTCAAATATTTTCAGATGTTTTTATGTTTGGTGTTCTGTGAATTAGTGTCATGATAATAGTTCATTATTATATGATGATCCCTAATCGTTATCTGATTAGTTCTGCCAGTTTATTCTATTTAGCTCTCTTGAACAGCATGACTAATAGAAAATTGTTTGCATTTTGCAAAAAAAAATCACATGAAATATTTTTTTTTAATTATTCTTAATAAAATAAAAGTATATAAATGTCAGAGGTCACTACAAAACCCACTTTAGAATAGATGCACATTTGCAGCACGCGAGCACCTTGTTTGGGGGGAGTCAGACTGCAGATCTTCAAATGCCTACCCCGTCTCTCAGCCTCTCCAGTAGCACGTGATGGTCAACAGTGTCAAAGGCTGCAGTCAGGTCCAGCAGGACCAGAACAGTCCCCTGCATCACTGTGAGTCAGAAGGTCATTAGAGACCCTAAGAAGAGCTGTTTCAGTAGAATGAGCTCTACGAAAACCTGACTGGAAGTTATCATAGATGTTATGTTCATCAAGAGCAGCTGTGAGTTGTTTAGCCACAACCTTTTCCAAGAAAGGTTGGAAAAGAAGAAAGAGAACTAGAGATAGGAGAGATGGAGAAAATGGAATTTTAAGATTTTTTTAGGATTCTGAAATCTTTTATCCTATTTTCTGTGAAGAGGTATGATTTCAAATACATTTATTTAAATGGGTAATAACATCCGAAATGTCTGAAATGTCAAAATAGAAAAAAATCGTGATAAAATTGTGATTTTGCAAAAACAAAGTCGTGAAATTATTATTTCTTCCATATCACCCACCCCTGCCCGATCCGGTCTTTAGCAGTGATGTGTGCTGCTTCTGGGACACATCTAAAATTTGCTGTGTCATGGCTTGTTTGAATCACCCAGTAAACTCTCTCTAATGGGTTGTATTTGAAGCAGTGATGTTCCGCTGCCGTTCCGCACCACCCATGCTTCCAGTGTGCAGTAGGGTAATAAACTGGGAGCAGATCACGTTTAAGGACCGGTTTGACACATCATTTAGATGTGTCCTACTCTAATCCTGACTGTTTATGAAACAAAGTAAATATATTTTAGCCATATCACCTGTCCCCATGTCCAAATTGTAAAATTCAACTTTGTAAAAGTAGAAGGAAATTTTATATTATTATATTTATTTAATTTAAAGAGACTCCTGTAGTGAGCAGAGCCAGGTGTCATGACCGGCTGCTGATGTAGCATGATATCTTAAATGATTTCACAGGTTATTCGCACAGCTGTGAATGTCACGCTCATACAGACTAATGTTTGATGCTCTGTTTTTATTTCTGCAGCCAGCCTTACAAACACCTCACACCGCCCAGAGTTTCTTCCTTAAAACCTGTATTAAATAGCAAGCGTCCTCTGCACCGTAGTTTTCGTTGTAGGATGAAAACTTTACATCACAGGGGATACGTTCAGAACACATGTTTGTTTACATTTACAATGCCTGCAGTGTGAGTGAAGGGAGGGAGAGGCGACATGCTCCGTTCAGGCTCCACACATGAAAATAAAAATTCGATATTTAACGGAAAAAATGAACCCAACGGTACACAAGTGGACCAAACTGAAACAATTCAACCCCCCGTGAAGCGTTACGTTCCTACAAGAAATATAAACAAGCAAATTGCACAATAAAAGAAATGTGTTGCAGACAGGAACTTAGGGTTCTGACAGCCTGCAGACATGAAGAGATCTGTTTAACTCTAATGTGTTTGTGTATTCCAGTCGGAACTATGGAACAGTGTGCATGTGTGGAGCGAGAGCTGGAGAAAGTCCTCCATCGCTTTGTGATGTACGGCCACCAGTCAGAGGAGAGGCTAGACGAGCTTCTGCGAAGCGTCTGTGACATACGTGGGCAGCTTGTTGCCTTTGGTAAGACCATTCTAAAGTCCTGTCATTTAAATGACGAGGAAACCCTCTGACTGGTGCTTTCTCATCATGGTGATTCTTTCTCTTTCTACCAGGAGTACAAGATGCAGACTTATCAGTCCTGTCTCAGACTATGGCTCAGTGTTGTAAGAATATCAAAGAAACCGTGCAGATGTTGGCTTCTCGGCACAAGGACATCCACGGCAGTGTGTCAAAAGTGGGCAAAGCTATTGACAGGGTGAGGACAAAGGAGAATGCTGTTTTATTGACAGGGTTTGTAAGAAGGCTTTGAAATCCTTGAAAATGGTTGAATTTCAAAAATGTGTTTTCAAGGTGTGGGAAGTGCTTGATTTTTGTATTAAAGTGGGAATCAAGACATGGGTGGAGACTTCTTTCATCCACACTTCCTGTTAGGAAAGCGCTTCTGAAAGAGGTGTCGCCTGGCGGACCGAGACAGTGGCGCTGGGGCCGTGATAGACCTCAATACCCCCCCACCCCCCGCCCGCGTGCACTGTTGTAGCTTCTCAGTCTAAAAACAATTTAATGAACAAGTGCACACAAGCACACACTCAAAGTACACTTACTGCTCAGGAGAAAAGCAGACACAGATTCTGCAGCATTCAGGAGGATTTCCTGTTAACCACGATCATTAGATGAAAACGGGAGGAGGGTGTTTCTTTTCAAGGAGGCAAGCGGCTCGGAGAGCCAACGTGTCATATGAGCAGGTGAGTGGCTGAGCCAGGTGGAGGTACGGCTGCCTCACCTGGATACCAGTGCAGTGCAGTAATTTGCTGATGTCACGTTTTCCAGCGTAGCCATCAGCCACAGCAGGTTCTACATGAATGTAGAACAGAGTTTTAACCTGAAGATGGAGATAGAATTATGGTTTTGGGCTGAAATATTACTTTTAAAGTAAGTTGTACTAAAGTCCCACACTAGTGATTACACATGTGTACAGCACCATTAGACACTCATCTGTACAGGTTATCAGCAAAACAAGTTAATTTAGGACTTACTCACTCTTTAAGCTGTTGTGTTTAAGATCAACCAAGATAGTTTGATGAGTAAACTAAATTTGTTATTGTTGTTGACATCAAAAACCGGAGAGCAGTCAATTAGCCTTTAAAGCTATCGGCCAGAAGCAAAGTTCCTTTGAATGGAATGTTAGAAAGTGTTATAACTAGAGATGTCCCAATCAGTTTTTTTTTACCCTCGAGTCCGAGTCATTTGTTTTTGAGAATCTGCCGTTACCGAGTCCCTGTCCGATACTTTTGATACATAAAAAAGATAAAGAAAAGCAAGAAACAGTTCCAGAATGTAATCACCTTTTTATTTTAATTTTTAACAACAGATCACTTCTGTGAGGTAGCTTGAACAACCAGGTAATAAATAACAAATTCTTCACTTTTGGACTTAATTGCAAATATAAAAAGTCTAATATAAAAACAGTCGGCACTTAAACTTAAAACACCTGGCAGGGGTCTACTTGCCTCAGCCCCCAAAATGCTTAGATACGCCCCTCGGCATGGGGCGCAGTTTTGAAGATGATCTGAATTGTATCAACTATATAAATACTACATGCTGATAAAGTATTGCTTTACACAGGTACACACGTGTAGTGGGATCAATCTACCTACATTTAATTGTTTTAAGAACTTAAGTTTTGTTTTCTTGGTTTTTATTTTCCTGTCGTCCTGTCCTGTC